TCTCGCCTGAAGTTTAAGGTGAACAGAGTCTTGACTGATCAATTAAGAGCAACAAAAAACTCCAAAAGAATTCTAAGTTATATAAGAGTCCTTAAAGTTCAACCAAGATCCTTGATTGTTTGCTTCTAAAGGATTCTTGTCTGGCATTCAAGAGAAACAGTACGTGATATTTACATATGCGTGTACATAAAAATAAATATCTGCACATTATTTACTCATTTGTCTATGACAGCAGCCATTAATTATTGTGCTCAATTGAATGAACAAAACTTGTTCAACTCATGTAACATATGAGTGGAATGCTAATATTATCTGAATGGATATATTTGATAGAAAAAAAACAACCTAATTGATCCATCGGTAAGTCAAAGTGTAGTTAATTTTAAAGTTTCCATAAATAATATTTCGAAAACAGAGGACTTCGTCATAAATCAAAAATTATTGATTTCAGGTGATGAATGTGAAAAAGATAAAATATTATTCAAGGTAAATATTTCCAATATATGCAATTTTTTTAGGAAGTGGCTATGTACACTTGAGTGCACATAGTGAGCTGGCAATGTGCACCTGAGTGTACACAATCAGTCGACTATGTGTACTCGAGTGTACATGGTCACTTTCAAAATGTATTCTCTCGTCTTATTTTGATTGAATAACAAGAAATTGAAAAAAACAAATTTTTTCGCTCTAAGTCATGTTTTTTTGTTTCTCTTTGACGAATGAATACGAGTAACTTCATTCGTTAAGAAAAATTTGAATAAATATAATGTATTGTTTTATATTGGAGTTTTGCTGTCAAGATGCAAAACGTGTCACGCGCACATTTCTCTTCTTATTAATTCTATATAGTATTAGTTCACTTCACATTCCACATATCAATGAATACATAGACTTCTGTGATCATCATGGTGCAACACATCGATAAAAAAAGAAATAAATATGATAAAGAATAACAAATCAAACTGTTTCATGTGCTCTACCCAGCTAGTCTGAATAACTCATTCTATTATTATTTCTACAAAAAAAATCATATGATATACTTGTTTAGTTCATCTGAAAACTAATTCTATTGGTAAGATTTTTGCCCGACAAGATTAGACATAATCGTATAATCTCGACGATCGATAATTACACACCTTCTACAATATTGATTCAGTTAAAAAACATATCTGGTAAGTTGTTTACAAATAACTAGCAGTATAGTTTTTAAAAGTCTTATTCAAGTCGTGTCGTTTCTGAATATATATGAATCTTAATTTACTTCTTGAAGTATTCTATGTCGAAGTCTACTCAATTATTGTGAGGTGAGCATCGCGTATTGATATGTGTTTCTTTTTTTTTAATCGTCGATGTCGTAAACAAATATCAGATTTAATTGATGATAAAAGAAATAAAATTGATTGAAGATCATAGATAAATCAACGAATCTCAAGATCATTCTTAGGAACGTCAATTGTATTGCTTAAGCAAGATTATCTATTGAACAATAGAATAGTAAAATGAATATTATTTTTCTTGTTTTATTTCGAAAAAGAAAAGCAAAAGCAAATCATGCTGATGTTTCTAATTGAAGAAAAAAATCAGTTTTGATAATATTGGTATTATCTATTGCAAAACTTCACTTTCTTTTGCAATGATTGAACTCGTTTTCTCTTCTTGAGGAATACCATTTTGTTTAATAGCTTCATTTGATTTATTATGTTTAACAATAAATTCAAGTAAATCAATACTTGTTATTATACCAAATATATGTGTTTTATTTTGTCTTGTTGATTGATCCTGATCTACTAATAAAACAAAATTAATACTATAATTTATTACGAGTAAATATTTTTACAATGATCATGTGCAAATTTAATAATCGCATAATTATGAGCTTCTAAAATACGACTTAATTTAGCCAAACTATCATTAAGTTGAACCTAGAATGACTCATAAAAATTTAGAACAGATTAAAAAATTAACAAGAAAATTTTACTGTTCGAAATTTATCTGTTACAGCTTTTGATACTTGATCTTGTGCATTTACTGTACCACGCGACATTTTTGCCATTATTTCACACATTGTTGTCATACCAATAAATGTTCTATTATTTCAAAAAACACTTCATGTATAATAAATAAAAAAAAAAAATAACAAGCAAATTTAATTTATTACCCATCATCAGAAATAACAGGTACTTGATCAAAACCTCTTGTATGCATTATATCAAGTACTGCTTGAATTGTTGTATTTGATGATACTGTAACAGGTTCACGAAGTTGTAAACTTGATATAGGCATTGAATGCCACCATTCACTATTAGGCTCATCTTTAATATCGAGAAACTCACGTTCATACATCCAATCATCACTTAAAAATTTTGTCCTAAATTAATTAATAACATATATATATATGTATATCATTTAGAATGAAAAAAAATATCAACTAAATTTCTTACATATAATTCCGAACAGAATCCGGTAAAATGACAACACAATTTTGCTTTTCCGTTAAATTAAAATCTTTACATGCTTGTATAGCACATGACATAGCTGAACCTGATGAAGCACCACAAAGCATTCCTTCATCTTTAATTAATTTTCTTGCACATCTGAGTGAAATCATATCCGAACTTTTATACCATCGATCAACTAATGATCGATCAAGTACAGTTGGAACAAAATCATATCTAATTGAAAATTATTTAACTTTTCATTTGTTTTCTTTGTGTGTTTAGTTTTCAAATATGACTTACCCAATGCCTTCGACCTAAAACAAAAATAATAATTAATATTCGAACAAAATCAAATAAAAAGATAAAATAAATACTTCATAAAATGTAATTCCAGTTTTATTTAATGTTTCAGGTACGGCTAATATTGAACCTTCTGGATCAACACCAACAATAATACAATTTGGACATTTTTCTTTTAATTTTCTTGATAGACCAGTTACAGTTCCTCCTATAAAATCAATTCGAAAATTGATATTTTATTGGATGTTTTTTTTAAAAGAAATTTGCCTGTTCCAGCACCGATAACAACCATATCAACTTTCCCTATAAGAAAAAAAAAATTAGTTAATATCTTTGTACATTTAATTCAAGTATAATTCTCACCATTGCATGCTTCAAGAATTTCTTCAGCAGTTGAATCATAATGAGCAATTGGATTATATGGATTTCGATATTGATCAAGAATATGTGAATTAGGAATTTTCATTTTTAAACGATGTGCTACACCAATATGTGATTCAGATGAATCAAATGAAGCACTTGTTGGTGTACGAATAATTTCAGCACCTAATGCACGAAGTACATCAACCTAAATACTCATAATATAAATAATGCAAATTTTCTTATTCAAATATCATGTAGCTACTTTTTCTTTGCTCATTTTTTCAGGCATAACGATAATACATCGATAATTTTTAACAGCACATGCTAATGCTAAACCAATGCCTGTATTACCAGATGTTGGTTCAATAACAGTATCACCTGGTTTTAATATTCCAGCACGTTCAGCTTCTTCAACCATACGTAAACCAATTCGATCTTTTACACTACCACCAGCATTAAAATATTCAAGTTTAGCCACTAAATAAATATACATATTAAGTTCAATTAAAGATAGAACTTTATTAACTTACAAAGATTACATTTCAAACCAGCTTCACGTCCCAAACGATTAACACGCACAAGTGGTGTATCACCAATTAATTCAAGAACATTGTTATAGATCTTTTGGCGCAGTGACTTTTGTCTAGGTCAAAAGAAACTAATTAACATCAAAAAAGAAATTTACTGGTTCAAGAAAACTTACCTAATACCAAGATTATGTGGACATTTACTTTTATCACCGTTAACGGTGTACGTACAACGGCTTGGTGCATCTGGTCGATTGGCCAAAAAACTTTCCATTTTTCTTACTCTTTATTCTGCTCGAATATTAAAAAAATGTACTGATAAGAGGGCACGCCTTTTTCTTATAGTGCTACGACTTTGTGCTTGTCTTGTGACTCGGGGTGGCTGGTATTGTGTGATAGAATGTATTTTTTTTCTCAATTTATATGTGCACATACAGACATATAGGCGTGCGTGGAGGAAAGAAAAAAAAAATAGAGTCTACTATAACATACGTTTAGGTCAGTTATCTCTTTTTCTCTCTCTGCATTCGGATCACTGCATGATGATAGTTGTTTTTTCGTAATAAAATATCTTTTTTTTACCTTGACTCATTAATATCTTAATCTTCTATTTGGTTTTAATTTCAAAAAGCATTTTCCTGTGTTAATTGCTTTCATTTAAATATTAAATTTCTTATGTTGCCGCTATCTTCATTATCATTCCATAGTGAAAGTCGAATATTTGCAGGATAGCTTAGATAAGAGAATGAAAAATGAGAAACAGCATCATACTAAAAGAAATAATCTACTCATAAAAAAACATTCAAGTTCAATTTTTCGTTTCAAAAGAATGGTACAAGTATATAAGATTAAAAAAAAAAGAAAAAAAAATACGTTTAACGTAAAACAACGATAAGAACAAACAATCAAGGGTTGTAAGAACGAAAAAAATTATAAATACATTGACTTTGTGCAACATCCACAGCAAGCCTACGTATGCTTATGGGGGCCGGGCTTGTTTACATAACCGTTTGTTGTCTACATTCTAATGTGCTGCTTAATTCACGTGGCATCAAGTAAAACAGATACATGAAAGAAAGTAGTTTTTGGGAGAGCAATGTGATAAAGATGATTCTGTTTTATCACTTCGTCGCATTTGAGATGAATCACGTGGATCGATAACAGGTATATTTTTAGGTACACGATTCTGTTGTTGTTGTTATTATTGTTGTATAACAAATGGAATTGGCACAGGTACAGTTAAAACTGGTGTTCGATTTGATAGATTAGGAGATTGTTGTTGTTGTTCAATTGTTTTATTAGAAAATGATAATATCAATGTATAAGATATCGTACAGCTTCATCTTGTCATTTTGTAAATGATGATTAACATTCAGTTGCTCAATGAAACGATGAAATTAAAAGTTTCTGTTATGTAAACTTGATCTTCTTCTGAACTAAGTTTAAGTTGCATTAAACACGGAAGAAATTGATGTGTCATTGTATCAAGACGATAATCAGGATCTGTTTTAAAACGATGTATAACAACATCATTCCATCTCTATCAATAGAAATGAATGAAATAAAGAACAAAATCAAAATCAAATGAAATATTACTTCAAAAGATAATCGACGAGCTTTAAATAAAAGACAACTATCCATTGCTTTCATAGTCAATGTACATTGTTTTGAAAAACACATATGTTATTCGCAATATGAACATTAGTTGCTTTTTTCGTTTAAGATATGATGACACCACTTATAAAGAACGTTCAGTTCAAGTCGATCATTCCTACTATCTGCAACGACACCTTAAACTTCCTAAAACGATGGCGAAACGGTATGACTACTGCATTAAACGATAAAAAAACGGTCGTCATTTACGGTCGTTTCAGTCGAAAACCAATGCACAGCATTAAGCCCGTATTTTCATCATACACTGTCGTATTTCTAGCATTTTTTGCTGCATATGAATTCGTCATCACAAACTACACCCAAAATAAATGTATGGGCACGAGTTGCAGCATATCGACATAATAATCATGCTCACCTTGCATGAAAGTATCATTAAACATAATTTTTTGATAAAGTGGTTCACTAATTAAAACAAAAACCATAATGTCTAGGATATATTTTTAACAAGTAACTTACTATAGTCAATGTTCGTCTTTTTTGAACGCTTACGAATTGTTTGTTCCTATATGTGGTAAGCAGCATGATTTGAACTTGGATAGATTTTCTACTACGCATCTACAAGACAAAAAATATGGGTTCTGTTATCCATAATATTTGTCCATGGGTAAAAAGAACGAATGAAGATATACGAAGGTGTGTACTTGGTAACTCAATACTAATATCAAGTCAATCATCGCATGACAAGACAGATGCTTTTGTAGAACGCACGTCATATCGTTGAATAGATGTCAACAAAATTCATCGAATCGATGCTTAAATATGATAGAAGTTTACCAGGATCTGATATTAAGAAAAAAAACAGGAAAATTAAAGAAAACAAAGAGTAAATCGCAGTTCCTTCGTAGGAAAACCTTTTGATAAAACATTAAAAATTGATCGACACTAGAAACAGTAGATAAGATCATTAAGATTTGCGTACTAAATATCATTATAAAATATCTAATAATACTTATGAGATATTTTTTTTTTGACTTTATGTGAAAACGGGATAAAAATCGGAGTAAAACTGTTGGTCGGAACAATGATTGTAACAGATACCGTTTATTACTGTATTTCTCAGTTTTCGAGTCGTTTACGACCTTTTATGGATTGTTCTGATCTATCTGAGTAGTTGACATAGTCCTTCTTGAAACTTTTTCTTTCAGTCTTTGTTGAGATAGGCATCAAAAGTTGTCATGTTCTGTACTGGTGATTTTAGCAGCTAAAGTCAGAAAATACTTGTTCAAACGAAAAAATGAAATCTCATATTTGAATCAATAGTATTCATTTCCAGCATTAATTGATTTGTTTACAAAATATAAAAAGTAATCAGTTTAATATTTCCTGGAGTTTTCAGCTCGATCTGATTACTTTCTCCTATATAAACCATCAAAATACCGATGACATTTTTAATATGGTTTTTTTTAAACAAATTTCTTAACAGATTTGTGGCCTGTGTTCTTAAGGAAAAAAGTGGCTTTGTTCTTACAATTTTTGAGACTTTTGATATTCTATTTTATCAACTATAACTATTGAGATATTGTCTTTCTGAATACAAAAATCCAGAAGTTTTCGTTAATTCTACAAGGATTTCTGAGATACCATTATAAAAAGTTCGTCTTGCTCATCTTCCTATAGTTTATTACCAAAATGTTGCTGAGCCGAATCTTATGAGCCAACGACCAAATGCTGTAATGTCTCTACGAGTATTAGAGCTTATCAAGTTCCACCACATAGAATATCTTCCAATTTCGGTCGTTGAGAAATGCAAACACTTTTCATGATAGATCATCTTTTCCTATTAGTCAATAAGATATGTTCGAAGATATTGGTCTATTTTCCATAGATCATATATTCTCAACCAGTTAATATTCTCTTATGTGAGTACTTTTATGTTGTATATAGTATGACCATTTAAGATTAGTAAAGAAGAATAAAACAATAGCACTGTATTGCATTTCTAGAATGATTCTTTTCAGTTATTCGTGTAGACTATTGATTAACTATTGCATAGCCTCAGAACAAAGGTTGCAAATGACTGTAAACAACAAAATGTCGTAGTATGGGGTGATAAACTACTGAGAAAAACGAGTGTTTTAGAAGAATCAAAATATATTTCACGAACTCCGTTCAATTTCGAGACACTCTAAAAAGACTTCACATGATTCCAAGAGATTACGATATAACATATACCTGCTCTTGTGGGTAGTGTGTATGACAATCTCAAGTAATAGAAAACTAGAATTGTCTGTTAGAGATCGACCTTCGGTTTAGAGTTGCAACTAGTATTAGTTGTATAGAGCATGCCAGACTACTTGATCTGTTATTAAGCAACATCCTATACTGTAAGATAGAAAAAGGCAGGCATGTTCTTCTTCGAAAACCGAATCCAAGTGAATACTTATCATTTGAAATGAAAACCTTCTAATAATGAGTACGATTGACCTGTACCAACGATGCTCACATTAGAGAAGTTTTCCTGTAATCAAATATTTTTCTTTGTCTGAACTCATAAATACTTTGATTTTCTATCTGATTTCAACTTCAAAAAACATTTTCTTGTGTTGGTCATATTCATTTTAAAATTAAATTTCTTATTTTGTTGCTGTCCTCGTTATCATTCTATAGTGAAAGTCGAATATTTGCAGATCACTTCAGATAAGAGAATAAAGAAAAGAGAAACAGCACGCATACTACAGGACAATAATCAACCCATAAGAAAAAAAAAATATACATAAGTTCAATTCTTTTTTTCAAAAGAATGGTACACGTATGTATGACAAAAAAATTACGTTTAATGTATAAGAATGATAAGAGCAAACAAAAAAAAACAAGGACCGCAAGGACAGAAAAAAAGATACAAATACACTGGCTTTGTACAACATCAACAACGAGCGCACACATAATTATGGGAGACCGGGCTTGTTTACATAACCGTTTGTTGTCTACATTCTAATGTACTGATTAATTAGCACCGTATCGAACAAAATAGAATGATGACAAAAAGTAGTTTTTTTCTTATGAAGATGAAGGTGGCAAAGATGAATCTTGTTCATCATCACCTTGTTGCATTGGTGATGAACCACGTGGATCAATAACGGGCATATTTTCAGGTACACGATTCTGTTGTTCTTGTTGTATAACAACTGGAATTGGGACAGGTGCAGTTAAAACTGATGTTCGATTTGATCGATTAGGAGATTGTTGTTGGTGTTGTTGTTGTTCTGTTGTATTACCTGAAAATGATGGATATCGATGTATAAGATCTCGTACAGCTTCATCATATCGTTCAACTAATTGATGTTTATTTATTGATACTGAATGATAATGTTGACCAATTGGTTGTTCAAGTAAACGTTGAAGAAATTCTTCAAGTGATAAGGAACGTTCAGTTGCTACATGAAACAACAAAAAAAGGATTGATATTTAAAACAAAATTTTGTTTTAGATGTTTATCCTACGTTCTAATTTATCCAGTAATAAACACCATACTCGTTGAATTTCTGTTATGTAAACTTGATCTTCTTCTGAACTAAGTTTAAGTTGCATTAAACAAGGAAGAAATTGATGTGTCATTGTATCAAGACGATAATCAGGATCTGTTTTAAAACGATTTATAACAACATCATTCCATCTCTATCAATAGAAATGAATGAAATAAAGAAACAAAATCAAAATCAAATGAAATATTACTTCAAAGCATAATCGACGAGCTTTAAATAAAAGACAACTATCCATTGCTCTCATAGGCAATGTACATTGTTTTGAAAGACGTAAATTGTATTCACAAGCAACACAAAAATATGTTATTGCTTCTTCAAATCTAAATAGTCATATTATTAATTATTTCAATTTAAAAATTAATATTGTTTTCGCTTGAGATAGTACCGCTTCCTTAAACTATTCTTGATATACATATTAGAAAAAGATCACAATTTCAAATCACTAAAACTCTATATTTAACCTCGAGATTCATTGAACTGGAGATCTGTCTTAAAATTGAATCAATATTTTTTGAGAAATACGACAAAAGCACCATAACTTTCATATCCATAAATCTGTATTATAGTCTATCTCCCTTATTTCTTTCTTTTTCGATAATAACTGACCAGAATCTGAAAAAACATTTATGTAACTGAAGAGTTCAGCATAACTTTTTGGGTGAGAGTCTGCGAAAAACCAAAGCAAAATGGGACATCTCTGATCTCTTCATGATCTCCTTTCATCGAACTGCATTCAATTTACAGAAAATTTCAATGTTTTTGCCATGTTTTTACGCTTTGAAGCTTTTTGTAAATTGAATGCAGCTTGATGAAGACAGGCTGAAGACATCTCATCTTGCTCTATCAAATAAAATATTTTCGCCAAAGGTTCCAATAAATATTAAAAAACTGTTTTTTTTTTTTTTGGTGGGAAAGATTTTGGGCTTCCGCAGATCGTCACCCCAAGAGTTTGCCAAGGCCTTCGAGTCTATTAATCCCGATAGAGAATCCTTTCAGTTATATAAATGTTTTTTCAGATTCCTGCCAACTATTACTATCAAGGAGAAAGCTAAAAAATATATCTGCTTAGAAATTTTCGTCCGTCGAGATACACAACAGTAAACAAAAGTACAAAAGTAAAGTATGATTATTTTTAATTTGGTATCGAAAAATTGTTTTTCTGGTTATCTGAAGCATATATTATTTAGAAAAAAATTCTGAAACTCTAAAATAAAATAGAATCTAATACGTATGGAGAAAGTTTTGTTAAATCAATTGGTCGTAGTTACTTTCGAGAATGATAATATCGAAATGCAACGGGCATCTTCCGAAACTAAATCAAGTACCAGGACTGGACATATTACACGAACACACCGACACTTTTTATTTCCTATGTTAGTACTTAATTGAGTTTCTGAGATAATTCAGAAAATCTCTAATGCGCTTTAGCTGAATCTCTTAGATATTTAATTAAATGAGAAACTACGGAAGGAAATAACCATCTTTAATAAAATCTTGTACTTACTTATCTTCATTCATCAATTG